CCCACTTGTGATTAAACATGGATGTACAGACTGCACTCATGTAGCTGTGAGTAGATAGCAGAAACGCTGCTGCCTTGAGAACACTTCCGTATTTGATTTTATGATCGCTTTGGAAGGAAGTCCCTCGGCGACCTACTTCTCACATGCAACTCTTATGAGGCATGTTTGTGCTTGTATGCAGGAATGACAGCCCCTTCAAGGCCTCTCTTCCTGTATAGTGATCTGGTATCAGAGCTGGGCATTGCGCAACTTAAGTCCGCAACTCCGCAACTCCGCAACTTGCGGACTACCCTCTTGGTAGCGGAGTTACGGATCGGCTACCGAGCCCAAAAAGTTGCGAAGTTGCGAGTTGCGGAAGCGAAAAATTCTAAAGCGCAACCGCTACCGGGGCCGCCACCGCTGGTGGGGGCCCACTGTACTCTTTGCACTCCACTGCACACTGCACGTGTTTCCAGGCTAGTTTTTGAAGCTGATTTCGAATTTAATGACCGTTTGAACATTTACGAAGTAGTTTTAGTGCCTTAGTAACATGTTACGAGGCTTTCAGTGGTGGTTGACACTGGATAGGCGGTAGGACGCCTACTGGTTGACCTGACCTGACCTGACCCGACCAGGCCCAAATGCATGAAGACGTCCTCTTTGATCAAAACCAACATGAAATTTGTTATCAGCGCCCCCCCCCCCCCCAAAAAAAAAGCATAAAAGCTTCACTTTACGAAGTTCTAGCAGGTCCGATTTTCCCGACTTTTGGGTCATTGACCTGACCTGGAAGGTCAACCAATGACCTATGACCTTAAAATTGGGTATCATCGGCTTCCTCTCGTCACGGGCAACACGCTCGTTTTTTCCCCGCGAAGCTCTAGCTCGATCAGGGGCCGAACGGCAGGGGGGGAGGGGGTCCAACCGACGTACACGTTAGACGCTGTAAAACACCGCACACAGCGAGGGTTAAGTCAAATTTTATGGTCGCCAGCACGGGGCCGGGGGCGGGGGGGGGGTGTTTGGACACCCCTCCGTAAGGTTTTCCGCAAATATATAAAAAAGGCGGCGGCAACGCGGCTGTTTTCGACACTGCTATTAACACATCCTTTCTACACATTGTATCAACATGTCAGACCCAGGTCACCTCAGGTCAGGTCACCAGGTCAAGTCAAGGGACCCAATCTCCGAAAAAATTAAACACCCCCCTAGCAATACAGGGCAATATAGCAATATAGATACACCTATTGACCGATCACTTTGAAACTGTCTGCATATGACAAGGGTAACAAGATATAGGTACAAAGTGTATTGTCTCATATTTTTTTATATTTGTGACTTAAGGTAAGGTCAACTGTGTGACCTCTCCATTATAAGTCAATGGGAGAAAATACGACTCGTCCGGATTTGCGGCAAAATGATCCCAAACAATTAAAACATGCAAAGAGTAGCACTGGCATGTCATTTACGTCGACTGGTGTCGCAATGACTTGCGCATTGAGCATTATAGGTCACGTGACGTCATCAAAGGTCACCAACAGTCAGGTCACCAACAGAGGTCAACCAAAGGTACTACCTGTCAGACATAACACTGCACTTCAGGACTAAAACTGATAAAACATAGGAACCTAATAGAGGTTGGTAGCGGAGTTGCGGAGTTGCGGAGTTGCGAGTTGCGGTTTTACGATCTGCAAAATAGTTTCGGAGTTGCGATTGCGCTTTGGGTACCTTAGGTTGCGGAAGGTAGCGGTAGCGGTTTCCAAATTTCGGTAGCGATGCCCACCTCTGTCTGGTATTTCCATGTTCCGCCCCTCAGCTCTCATGCTGACTAGTGGGGCCCACAACACCTCTACTGCATATGTAAATGCGTGTGCCGCTGCCGCCGCCTTGACCGTCTCATTGCATTCAGTGTACCCTGGAATGGGAGCGAGCTGCGGCGCCTGGGCCGCTGCCGCGACTGAGTGGGGCGGCCAGAGTGTGATGGCTGGTGACACGGCTATGTAAACCGCTGGTGAGGATTGGTGACAGCTGTTAACGACTGTCGGGACTGTCTGGTCACTGGTCAGTAGCGACTACCTGGTGGCAGAGAAGCTGAGATGGCGGTCGGACTGAGGAGGATATTGTGCTGTCTCGTGCTCGCGAGTTCGGTGGCGCGGACTTTCGGTGAGTGCTGAAGTTTGGGAGGTGGGACGGTGAAGGGAAGCGATTTGTGCTACCGGAGGGCTTCGGTTACATGATCGATCAACCTATGTTCAGTGTAAGATTTTCAAGAAGCATTCCCGACAGTTGAAGTGTTGATCCTATTCCACCAGTGATTGTCTCGCTAATGCACTTACCACCGTCCTGCTGTTCTGCCCCACTGCTGACCCCCCATCCTTCCCCCAGCCCAGAGGGACGCGGGCTGCGGCCGGCGCGGGTTCGCCGGCGGCGGCCAGTGCCGGCCGCCCGGCTCCTGCTCCCTGTACGTCTCCGGACTGTGCAGCGGCGGCTGGATCTGCTGCCGACGGTCGGAGGGAGCGGTCAGTTCTGTCACCTTTCCCCGGCCGGGGGCGGACCGCCGGCCCCCGCAGCCGCTCACCCGCCGTACAGTGGGAGCCGGCGCTATCGTCTTCCCGGAGCAGGCGGTCGGGCCGGAGCGTCCGCAGCCGGAGAGGGGTGGTCAGGGCACCGGGACCGGCCGCCAGCCGGCACAGGGCCGGCGCACCCTGCTCCGACCGCCCTTTGGTGAGCAGTGACTGATGGTGGGGCAGTTATATCGATGACGTAGTTAGCAGGGTGATGGGGGCATTGGACACTACCTGGGATTGTGGGACAGGAACAAGTAGATGAAGAAACCCTCTAATGTATGTGACTTGGCGGAAACGGTCATTATATTGGGGAGAAGTTCATGACGCGTCCATAAATAAGCAATCCCATCACCGTTCTCAGCTGTGTGTTTTCGTTATCAGCTGTCCGTTATCGTTCTTATGTCTATCATAGTTCTCAGAACTTTAATGCCGTTCTCAGCTATTCGTCTTCGTTCTTAGCTGCTCGTTACCGTGCTCAGATACCGTTGCTTATCAGCTTACTCGATACCATTGTCTTACTTAGCTGCCCGTTTTCTTTCCCAAATATCCGTTGCCGTTCCCAGATGTCCGTTTCTTAGCTCTGACTGCTTCCGTCCTCAGTGTGCCGCCGAGACTCGGCCGACTCCCGGCGCCGCGGCTCGGTACGCCGGCGGCGGCAGGCGCCGGGGTTTTTCTGTGGGGCCACTCTCATCTCGGAGCGCTACATGCTGACGGCGGCCCACTGTATCACCGAGGAGCGGCCTGTGAACGTGGTCCGGCTGGGCGGGTTCGCGCCCACGGAGGACGGCACGCCCACAAAGCCCGTCGACTACCCCGTGGAAAAGGTGCGCGGAACGGTCAGCCCCTCGGCCGGTATATGTAGTGTCAGAACATTGGGGATGAGCATACTTGGGAGTTGGGACTCGGACTGGAGGATGTGCTTTATGTTCCCAGCACGTGTGCACGTTTCTCTTACGTTTACGAGTATTGCGGTATTTTCTCTGTGCATACGTCTTTCTTTCGCGGCCGACTCATGTCCAGCTCCCGTACCCCCCCCCCCTTACCGGCCCCGTGTCTCGTCAGATCACCACGCACCCGCTGTACCGGTACCCGGTGGTGTACCATGACCTGGCGCTGATCCGACTCGGCCGGCCGGTCACATTCACACCCACTGTGCGCCCCTACTGCCTGGCGGCGCCCCACCAGGACCGGCCCGGCACCGACGCGCACGTGGCAGGAATCGGCGCAAAGGAGTTCGGTACGGGACGGACGTAATGGGCGGCGCAGCGGGTCGACGACACGTGGTGTCTGGTGCGGCTGTCTTTTTCATTGAATGTAGAGGAGTTGATTTTTAGTCAGATTTCAGTCAGGTACTTGACGCTCTGCCGATAATAATTCGCTATTCTCATGCCCCTCCCAGCCTCTTATCTCAGCGTCTTACCCCTCTCCTCTCTCCGACAGGCGGTAAAGTCGGCGACGTGCTGCTGGAGGCGCCGCTGCCGATCGTCTCGGCCGCCGAATGTCTGACAAACCTGACCGGCGGCCGCACCACGCTCCAGCTGCCCCAGGGGATCACGGACGGGTGTGCTGCGCGGGCGGCGGCGAGTCCGGCCACGACGCCTGCCAGGGCGACTCGGGCGGACCGCTGCGCGTCGAGACTGACGACGGGCCGCGGCTGGTCGGCGTCGTGGCCGCCGGGGAGGGCTGCGCCGCGCCCGGAAAGCCGGGGCTCTATACGCGCGTGTCGCACTACATCGACTGGATCGACGGCATCGTGTACGGCGATGGATAACTTCGGGCATGGGCGACTGTCCTGGCTGGCGTATGGAGGCTGCTGAGATAGGCACCAGGATACCGCGCGGTGGCAGCGCTCAACTCAATTGTCAGAGCCCGCTGTCGTACTGTCGGGAAGACGACTTTTCGAAGCAGATGTATAGCATTGTGCCCAGATACTACTGTGCATAAGTCGTGTGTGTATATATTATATTAACCCGCATAAGTACTTACTCACAGGATCAATAAATTACAAACCGAATAATCTTCAAACCGTCCAATCTTGGGGCGGACCAGCAGCAAGAAAGAGAATCGCCATATGGGTGGGAGGAAGATCGGTGCTAGGGAGAAGAGACTTAACCAGAGTTTCCAATAATTGCTCCTTTTCATGTTTTACATTTCAGAACTCTTAAAATGTCTTTCAATCACGAGATTGAGCTTCACGGTGCGAGCGACTTTACCGAGTGTCATTTGAGCGAACGTCATTTGAGCGAGCCATTTTCAGCGACTGGCAACTTAGCGAATATCAAATTGAGCGATTATCAAATATAGCGATTATCAATTTAAGCGAAAGCTATGTTTCAGCGACATCTTTTTTGTCGACTACAGTTTGAGCGACTGTCATTTGAGCGAAACACTTCATCGTCCCGTAACGGCGTATTTTTTTCTTTTTTCTTTTGCGAGCGATCGTACAACGCATGTTTCCGGAATTTTTCATGGTTATCCGGAACTGGATGGCGGATGTCACGTTCAAAGTTCAGACATTAAGCTCCAAATTTAATGCCACATTTCTAAAAAAAAAATCCAGTGGTTCGATTTCACCACCTGCTGTTTGCCAATAATGATGACCAAACGTTTGTTCAGAGATTCATATTGCTTGTGCTGTTTTTCGCGAAATTCCCCCGCTTGAATTTGGATCAGTTCCCCATGTTGTAAAATTTGTTCTTGCCCCAACGTACGAATTTCCAAATATTTTAGTGAGGTCCCTGAAACATAGACTGGATCCCCCTGTGCCATCCCTCGAGTTTATTATTGGTCCTTGGCATTCCTTCCATCGCCCTATATCTCACGTTCCACATTTCCAGAGCAAAGTTGCAGAATGAGGCCAGATATTTTTGTGGTTTCCAAGCTTAAAGCAATTTTTTAATTTGCCGCGCGCAGCTTGAAGCATGACACATCCCAAGCGGGTATTCCAAGGGCAAGAATTCCCGAAAAGTAGCAAATGATTGACTTCCGTCGCGTTCGGTTTCGCTGTAACTGTGTTCGCTCAATTGGTCCCCCATCGACCTCCATATATTCGCTCAATCTGGTTTCGCTGATTCTGGTCCTCGCTTAAGTTGATAATCGCTGTGATTGAATTCGCCGACTTGACAATTGCTGAAAAAGTCAATCGCTTAAATTGATAATCGCTGAAAAGGCTTCGCTCAAATGTCGTTCGCTGAAATGACGCTCGCTCAGGTGTCGCAGAACCTGAGCTTCAGGCTTCCGCCGTTCACATTTGGTCGTGAGAGCTGATAACACAGTTAGGGCCCACAAATATATGCTGCGGCGTCCATCTTCCATAGTGTGCAAAACGGCGCGCAAACCGCGCCAGAATTCTAGGCAGCGTTCGATGTCTCCCGGACGACAAAAATTCTTTGCCGTCCAGCCAATCCCGTCCAAGGTCAGCGGGGGCTCGGCTGCGGTTATGAAACGTGATTGGCCGGACGGCGTAGAATCTTCGCCGTCCGAGAGACATCGAACGCGGGGCTAATGTGCGCCTTGTGAGGGAAACACTCATGAATATATTTGTTTTCTATAATAAAAGCAAGAATAAAAACAAATTTTCTGTGTCTATTTTCGTATGCTTCTGTAAAATTTGTTTGTTTTTGTGCCCTAGGAACTGTGATTTTGATTTCTCAAAGGATGCAGTGAGGTGGGTGATGGTGTTGTGTTTTCAAGCATCAGGATCAGGATTGAGATTTATTCAGAGCTTAGCCTTACTTAGAAATACAATTGGAGGCCAAACAATAAAACACATGAATAAAAATTGAAGGCTCATACTGAAGCTATGTAACCTCATAACTAAAACATTTTACTTTACATAGTTTGAGGTGTAGCACAGAACGCCAATGCCAGCTCGTAGAATGAGAATCAGTCGGGGGAGGTTTGGTCAATCGTTGTCATTTTTAGCACGTGCTATTTTTTCACACGTGCTAAAAATGACAACGATTCTGCTATTTTTGACAACGATGAGGCCGATTTCACTCCTCAGCGAGGAAATGAAGATTTTGGAAAGATAAACACTGATTTTGGAAAAGAAGTGCTGCCACCTGGTGCAAGACGAAGAATCCAGCTTTATATGCCTGTTATTTGTATGGTAGTTTGTTTTGTGGCCTGAAGTTGGAACTTAAAATTGAAGCATCCGAAAATGATCGATATTGATCGAAAACATGATGTTGATGAAAAAATAATATTTTAAGTTGAGAGAGGAGGCCATTTTATCCAGATGCAGTAGTTTACTTCTTGAAATTATTTTTGCTAATGACGGCTGCTAATTATCCCTCATTACATGGCAGTCGTCGTAAGCAAAAATAATTTCAAGAAGTAAACCACCGCATCTGGATAAAATGGCCTCCTCTCTCAACTTAACATATTATTTTTTTCATCAACATCATGATTTCGATCAATATCGATCATTTTCGGATGCTTCAATTTAAAGTTCCAACTTCGGGCCACAAAAAAGGGTATACTTCAACGTTGGACTACCATACAAACAACGGCCATATTAAAGCTGGTTTCTTCTTCTTGCACCAGGTGGCAGCACTTCTTTTCCAAAATCAGTGCTTGTATTTCCAAAATCGTGATTTCCTCGCTGAGGAGTGAAATCGGCTTCATCGTTGCTAAAAATAGCTGATAGCGTTGTCATTTTTAGCACATGGTTGCCAAAAATGGCATGTGCTAAAAATGACAACCATTGACCAAACCTCCCCCAACTGGAATGGTGAAACAAACCAAAAAGAAATAATTAGAAATGTAAAATATGCCTGGGAAAATTATACAGAATTTATTGAATTCAAGTGTAATTTATTAGAGCATTGGTTTGTGCATCAAATAAGTTGATTTGATATTAATTCAAAAAGGTAAACTTAAAATTGATCATGAGCTCTAATTCAAATTCAATTGAGTAGTTATGCGTTGTTTCCTTGTTTTCATTTTGGCAGCCCCTTAGCGCTCCTTAAACCTCAGCAAATAAGAATGAGAACGAATCTTTGAGACATGATAGAGGACAGAGGTCAATTATCAATGCCAGGCTGGGCTTTCAATATAATTGCAATTTTAGTTTAGCCTCAGGGCTCAGTTTGAGCTCCACTTTTGATTCTGATTTATTGTGTTCAGTCTTTTTCTTAGCATAGGATTAATGTGGGGACTTGTGTTAAGTCACAGTTTCAAATATTTGGTTATTGAATGAATCTGTTTCATTACTCATCCATGCTCTTGCTACTCTTAGTTGAGATGCTAATACAATGATTGGTGTGACAGGAGCATTTGGGACAAAGATATCTTGTAGTATTTGCATTAGAAATGAGTGAAAAATGTGAAACAAAGCAATGTAATGCAAAACAATTTTGAGATAATTATCTCCCATGAGTAAACTTCAAGTGCAAATGAAAAGAAATTGTCATGTTCCATTTCAGGTTGGCTGATGGAGGATGACGTCAACCAGGGTGGCGGCAGTGGCGAGCAGAACGGGCGCGTCAACGGCGCCGTCGGCGGCCGTCCGACCCCATCCCCCGCGGGCGGCGGCGGCGGCGCGCGGCCCAAGCAGCCCTCCAGGCCGCGGCCGCCTCCGCCCACCGAGGAGAGCGACGACGAGCCGCCGTCGCCGGCCGCGGCGCGGCGCGTCAACGGCCGTCCCGACCCGCGCCTGCTGCTCAGTCACAGCGCCAGCGAGTCCGACTGCGCGCTTGACGAGTGTGTGTACACGTACAAGGGCGACCGGCCGGCAGACGTGAACCGCAACCACCACCGGCCGCCGGCGCCGCCGCCGCCGCCGGCCGGCGGGCGCGTCTCGCCCGACCTGGACTTTCTCGAGATGGACTTTGACCCTAGTGCGTTCGATACGAGCGAGGATGAGCTGGAGGTGCCGGCGGCGGCCGGCTGGACGGCGGAGGAGGGCAGCTCGCCGCCGCCCCTGGCCAACGGGCCGCCGCCGCTCGAGTCGCCGTCCCCGCCGCCGCCCCCGCCGCAGCACCCTCCCCCGCCGCCGCTGGTCGCCGACGAGGCGCCGCTGGAGGTGCCGTCGTCTCCGTCGCCGTCTCCGCCGTCTCCGGCGGGTAGCAGCCGGTCTTCCCAGAGCTCCGGGTCGCGCACGCCGTCCCCCTCGCCGCCCAGCTCCCGAGCGAGCTCGCCGGGCGCGACGGCGGCCGCGGCGCCCGCCGAGAACGTCAAATTCAACCGGCTGTCGGCGGCCGGATCCAACTCGGACGACAACCTGCGGTACAGTGACACCGGCAGCCCGGATAGCAACGCGGCCGAGGCGCGGCCTGGCCGCCGGCCCGCCGAGCACAAAGTCACCAACCGGCGCCTGGTGCGCTACAACCTCAGCTCGAGCAGCGCCCCGGCGGCCCCTCCGGCGGCTGCCGAGCTGTCCCCGCGACTCCCTCACAGTCGCAGCGAGCACAGTGCCGTGGACGGCGGCTCGGACAAGTACCGGCACTGCTGCAGCAACGACCTGAGCGACCGCCAGCCGGGCGGCTGTCACGATCGACTCCGGCGCCGAGAGAACTCGGTGTTCAACATCCCCGGCGGGGGAGGCGCCGGCGACCCCAACCTGCAGCACGACGGCTGTCACGGCGCGCCAGAAAAGGCCTTCATGGCGCGCAAAGGCGCCGCCAACGCTGCCGACTCGGGACTGTTTGAGGTGAGAGATGCGCTCACTGCTTGAGAGCTGCTGAGAGGAATGCATTGACTTCAAATGCTCTTGTGTGACTGACAGGTCTTGGTGGGAGACATGACGATGTGTTTGTGCTTCCAGGCTACACATTTGTTGTTACGATCGTAGAAATGAATGGTTTCCGTTGCATGTCGAACTAGCTTGGTAATGATCACTGTTCCTGAGAAAGGGCCCATTGTGTTATCGTGGTTTGCAGCTATTTCTATGTCATATCCTTATATCGTGCTTTCGTGGCTCTGCATCGTGTGAAAAGTCTTGACATCGAGCCATATGGCCTTGTCCGCCTCTTTCGTGCATCGCTTTTGCTGGATGATTTTTTTTTTGTAAATTATTGACGTGTCTGCAGTCCACTGCCTTACAGTCCGTGACAATTTTGCTTGAATCCAGCCCTCTGGAAGGTGATATCTGCTGTGACTGTTGGTTGTCATGTTTCCTTCCTAATTTAATTGTGGACTCTGGAGCAATAATCTGGCCTGGTACCTCTATCTCCTGGTACCC